GAGACACAGGGATGCAACGGAACGCATATGGCGAGGATGGTACCGAGGCGGATGTTCAAACAAAGGGGATCGGATAGGTGAGACCAGCGCGGATTACTGTAGGCGCGTTTGTTGAGATAATCAACCTTGGCGAAACAACTTACGATGCCCTCCTCCGGCCCAGCAAAGCGAGGAACTTATGCGTTAGGCGAAGAGGCACAAACATTGGTTGTAGGACTGTAGTTGAGCAAGGACATGGTCTTCTTCCAATCGTCACGGTTGAGCATTCATGTAAACCGTTATGTACTTTAATAGCTAAAGTACATTGACTACTTAAAATAAAACGCAAGAGACTAAAAGTAAGTTAGCTTACAAGTCCGGTTGTTAATACTTGTTACTCTTACGTAACAAGTAAAAGACTAAGGCCTTAGTCAGGGGGCACCCGACTATTGTAGGCTGCCGAGTCTCAGCCATCATTGATATTTTATTAAGGATTTCTGAAAATCTAATAAAGATTCAATTCTTTTAGTTAAATGGACGGTTGGCACATTTGGCGCCTTTTCAATATCTCTTAAGAAATATTAATTTCTAATAATAGAATCATTCGATTGATATTTTTAGAACTGAATTTAAATGGCCACTTAAGAAAAATAAAAAATAAAAATAAAAATAGACAGGCCGTCCCCAGGTTGGTGTGATAAGGCCCTAGGGGTCGGTGGTATTATTAATAATTAAATAATTTAGTTTGTAAAAACTAAGTTTATTAATTACCAGTTTGTAAAAACCTTAGTTTATCTTTTTAAAGAGTAAACCTAAATAACCTTCAACGTTTATACTATGAGCCATCTCGTATAGTATTTTATAAAGGAAAACTATTTATTATATATAACTCAAATTATATATAATTCATGTATTAGCAATAATACTTAGTAAAAGCTTTACATAAGACAATGCTGGATTTATTAGTTTAATTAGATAGTAATATATTATATGAAGTTTACTCTAGGACCTGCTATGATATCATCCACACTTCGATAGTGACCATAAGCGGCGGTGGCTGCGTTAGAGTCACGTTGTCTTTGGCTGCCATGTGAATGGCTACTGAATCGACAGTTACTACTGAATCGATTACTTCTGATCTAGATACTACTGGTGCAGCTACTACTGCACCAGATACTAATACGTCAGCTACTGCTTCTCCGGTAATAATACGAACAGTTGCACCAGATTATCTGACATTTACAAAAGTTAATCTCTGGAAGGAGTATCAGCGCCGTATGAAGTTGGACAAGAATCTCGTGTTAACCACCAGGTACGATATAGAATCGGGTTCGCTTGTTCCCAATCAGCTCTCCAAGTCATACTCCTGAAAAGGACCTCCATCTACTGCTCCTAAAGAGGTTTTAGCCAAAGTCTTGGAGATGAACGATGTTTCGCATACAAAACTAAAATTCATACTGTAAAAGCCGGGCCTCCACATTATAATCTTGTAATATAAACGTACTCTTAATAGTACGTGAAACGTACTCTTAAAAGTACGTAAACTTAGTTTTCTTTAAATGGTTTTTAACGGTTTTTATTAATTAAATACCTTTTCCATTTCACATATCAGATATTTGGACAAGGCCATTAAAAGGCCCCAGCTAAATACCAAATATAATTATTGGTCTAGTTCTATTAATAGAACTCTTTTTACCTTCCAAATCTATTTATATCTGAATACTTCGGTAGCGAGATGGCTCAACCGAACATAGGTTTCTAAGGACTATTAGCGTTGCTTAGTTTATCATCCGTTCAGCCAACCACATGTGCCAGTCTGATGAAGGCTAAGTCGGTAATTCTTGATAAGTGGCAAGTTATTGGTTACTGCAATAACTATGGACATCAAGAATATTTTTCTTTTGTCTTTTCTTTTTTTTCTAAAGATAGGATTTTATGAGTCTCTCGGATTCGCCCCAACGAAACATACCATAGTTTCTAATAGAGCGACAACGAAACACTAAATAAAATCCCGTCGGCGAAAACAGTACTGAGAGGATTATATATAGGCAATGTCTCAGCCTCACAATCCCTCAGAGTATTGCTGTTTTCACGAGGCATACCTAACTTTACTAAAAGACTCATGTCGTGTATTTACTTTTAAATTTTGATATACTTAGACATAACCTAAGCGTTTATTTACTCTAAGGCGTTAATATCGCCTTAATAGACCGATACTTGCAATATCTCATTAGCAATATATTCCTATGAACTTTGACCCTGTAGAAATACGAGCGCGTGCATCAAACAATAACAAAAAGGCAGTAGCAAATGCTACAGATGAAGTTAAAGACAATCCAGCAATACGTCGTACAATATCATTTGTTTGCAGAATGATGGCTATGTTTAATGACCCGATACATCTCCCACTTTTCATGGCGACAAAATCTGGACATAAAAACCGGACAATGTTGGACAATGGGCAGATCAAGTGGAAAGACCCATGCTGGGTACTTTTGGCAAAGAACTATAGTATTCCCAATTATTGTTATAATCAAGGAGAGATTGATGTGGCTGTGAAGGCGGGAGACCTATCAGCTACTGGTACATCACCGAAAATGCCATCACTGCCTAATTTAGATGCATGGAACAAATATTTGGAGAATATAGCTAATGATCGAGTATCGTGTGCTAACCCGCAAATATTTGTAAATGCTGTACGAAATGCCGACCCTATGGATATAATATATATATAA